CCTGCCAGCCCAGTCGTAGGGGCAGTGTCCATCTTGTGTCCTTGCCTCTCTTATGAATCTAAGCGGAATTGATGATTCTTTGTTTGTTCAGGTATTTGCTTGTTGTTAGGACACAGTGGCAACTTCTAAGCTCCTTATATGTGAAACCAGAAATTGGAAGTCTCTATTATTTTTTTAATTAAAAAATAAATGAATAGAAATTTATTCTGTAAATATACCCAATTCATTTATCAGTTTATAATTTGGTTTTAGCTATGAATGCTTGTGTATGTCTTTTTTTAATTTTAATTATTGTTCGAGTACAGTTATGTGTACAAGTCTTTTTGTGAACATTTGTTTTTATTACTCTTAAGAATAGTCAAAGGAATAGGAGTTTTGAGTTTAAAGTAGCTTTCTGTTTAACTTTATAACACAATGTCAAATAGTTTTCTAAAGTGGTTGCTCATTTGAAACTCTAGTTCATAAAATTTGTGACTGAACCATATCTTTGCCAATCATCTATTTAAGCCATTGTAATGGATGTAAATATGTAAATTGCATGACTTTAATCTGATCTGTAATTCCTTGAGGACTGATGAATGAGAACATCTTTTCATACTCTTCTTAACCATTTCATGAATTTCAAAGTTTTTGCTCAATTGTTCTTTTTAACATTGGTTTGTTTGTACCTTTCTTTTGAGTTGTGACAGTTCCTTATATATTCTAGAAACAAGTCTTGTGTCAGATATAGAAAATAATTTTCTTCCACTCTGTGGTTTAGATTTTATTAAAATTTTTTTTAATAAAAGGGTTTTTTTTAGTCAAAAGTGTTTACTGATTTCACATGAACATTTTCTTTTTTAATTGATTGATAATATTTTGTCCTAAGAAATTCTTTTCTACCCCTTAATATAAAATTATTTTTCTATATATTTTTGAGAAATGTATTTGTTTTGTGTCTACATTTAGGTGTATGAGTGATCTGAACATATTTACAATTCATCTGAGGTAGGGGTCAAGTATAATTCTACTTTCCCAAACATGTACCAAGTTGTAATTGAAAACAGCAATATTCCCTTTTGAACTTATTTGACACATTTATCTAAAAACAATTGACCAGTAATATTAGGGAGATGGAGGACTTGGAAGCACTGGGAATACTCTCCCTATTCAACAAAAAATGCACCGGCTGAATCTGTCTTAGATAATTATTTTAAAATTCTGAAGTCCATTGTATAAATGGCAACTTTCAGGAGAAGGCTTGGAAAATGAATTATGCTTAATCTAATTCAATTTCAGCTCTTATAACAGTAGCAACTACTTATCCTCCACCATCTGTCGATGACAGATAGTAGTGGGGATCCAACTATTGGATTGCTGATTTCTGCTTCTGATTCTAAGGTACAGGGACAGAAGCAAGATGCCATTGTTGTAGTATCTCAAATGAGGATTAAAATATATATACATATCCAAATCAGAAAGGAAGAAATAAAGATGTTTCTGTTCACAGGTGACATGATATTCATATGTAGAAAACCTAAAGACTAACATATAACCATTAAAACTAAAAAATGAATGCAGCAACTTAGCAGATACAAAGTGAACACATAAAAATCAGTTGCATTTCTATACACAAACAATTAACAATTTGAAAAAATTAATAATAAAATACTCAATTTATAATAGCACTAAAAAGAATAAGACACTTAGGAATTAACTAATCAAGAAAGTGAAAGAAATACATTAAAAACTCTAAAACATTAGTAAAAGAGAGTAAAATACATAAATAAATTAAAAAAAATCTACATTCATGGAATAAAAGTTTTAATATTGTTAAGATGCCAATATTATCCAAAGAAAGGTACAAGTTCAATGCTGTCTTATCAAGCTCTCAATGTGAGTTTTTACAGAAATAGAAAAATCCATCCTAAAATTTATGTCTCTGGGCTCTCTGTATATACTCCTTGGAGAAGTGTCTGTTCAAGTCTTTTGCCCATTTTTAATTTTTTTGTCTTCCTGGAGTGGACTCATGTGAGTTCTTTATATATTTTGGAGATCTCACCCTTGTCTGAGGTATCATTGGCAAATATGTTTTCCCATATAGTTGGTTCGCTCTTCATTTTAATGCCATTTTCTTTAGCCGTACAGAAGTGATCAGGGAGATACAAATTAAAACCACAAAGAGATACCACTTCACACTGGTGAGAATGGCCTTCATAAACAAATGAACAAACAAGTGTCAGAGAGGATGTGGAGAAAAGGGAACCCTAATGCACTGTTGGTGGGAATGCAGACTGGTGCAGCCACTATGGAAAATGGTATGGAATTTCCTCAGAAAACTAAAAATGGAACAGCCTTTTGACCCAGCTAGTCCACTGCTGGGATTATATGCTAAGAATCCTGAAACACCAATCCAAAAAAACCTATACATCCCAATGTTCATAGCAGCACAGTTTATAATAGAATAGCCAAGTGTTGGAAGCCACCTAAGTGCCCATCAGTAAATGAATGGATAAAAAAAAAAAAACTATGGTACATTTACACAATGGAATTTTATGCAGCAGAAAAAAAGAAGGGGCTCCTACCCCATGTGATAGCATGGATGGAACTGGGGAGTGTTATGCTAAGTGAAATAAGCCAGGCAGTAAGGTACAAATACCACATGATCTCGCCTATAAGTGGAACCTAATCAATAAAACAAACAAGCAAGCAAAATATAACCACACACGTTGAAATTAAGAATAAACTGAGAGTAACCAGAGAGGAGGTGTGAGTTGGGGGGGAAAGGAGAATCTTTTCAAGAACAACTATAAAAGACACATGGACAAAAAACCAAGGAGGGTTGGGATCAGGGGAAGCAGGTTGGGATGGCCGGGCTGGGGGAAGGGTGCAGTGGTGGTGGGGAAAATAAATAAATACATAAATAAATAAATAAATAAAATTTATATGGAATCTCAAGGTGCTCCAATTAACCAAATATAATTTTTTACAAAGGGATAAATTCAGCCACCACACACTTCCTATTTTCAAAATTTAACACAAAGTTGTACTAATTAAAAGAGTGCAGTCAGTACTGATGTAAAGAAAGACAGACAGACCAATAAAAAAAGAGGGAGAGAGAGGCCTGAAATAAAGTCTCACATATGTGGTTAAATGATTTTTAACAAGGGAGCAAAAACGCAAATGGTGCCGGGAAAACTAAATGTACATCTGCAAGAGAATGAAGTTAGAACTTTAATGCCACATACCAAACAAAACTAAATGAAACAAAAAACATCTAAAATGCTCAAATGGATTAAATAAATAAATGTAGGGGCTAAAACTAGAATCTCTTAGAAGAAAATATGGGATAAAATATTCATGACATTGATTTGGCAATGATTTCTTAAACACCAAAAGTAGAGTTAACAAATGAGAAATACACAAATTAAGCTTCATCAAAATTAAAAAGTTTTAGACATTAAAGGAAACAATCAACATAGTACAAAGGCAACCCAGAGTTTGGGAGAAAATATTTGTAAATCACATATCTGATAAGGGATTAAACAAAAAAGTGGCCTAGAATTACCACTTTATCTATTAATTCTACTGCTGACATACACACAAGGATAGGAAACAATGACTCAGGCATTTGTACGCCCATATTCATAGCAGAATTATTTATAAGGGCCAAAAGGTGAAAACAACCCAAATGTCCATTGTTAGATGGATGGATAAACAAGGTAAACAGTATATAGTATGTACATGAAATGCAATATTATTCCATCTTACAAAGGACTAAAACTCTTATACATATTATAGTGAGCCTCCAATATATTGTACTAAGTGAAATAAGCCAAACACAAAAAGGCAAATATTGTGTGATTCCACTTATGTGAGTCAATATATAGAGACAAGAAATACAACAGTGATTACCAGGGGCTAAGGAGAGGGGAGCATGGGGAGTTATTATTAAATGGATATAGAGTTTCAGTATGGGATGATGAAAATTCTGGAGAGGCATAGTGAATCTACTCAATATCACTGAAATGTACACTTAAAGATGACTGAAATGGTAAATTTATAGTTTACTATACTTAAGAAAAAGCAATTGATCAGTGGGAAGGGGAAGGGGAGGAATGGGGAAAAGGTACAGGGAATAAGTAGCATAAATGGTAGGTACAAAATAGACAGGGGGAGCTTAAGAATAGTATGGAAAATGGAGAAGCCAAATAACTTATATGCACAACCCATGGACATGAACTAAGTGATGGGGAGTGCAGGTGGGAGGGGACATGCAGGGCAGAGGGGAATAAAGGGGGAAAATGCAATAACTGTAATAGCATAATCAATATAATACATTTTAAAAAGAATTTTTAAATAAAGAAAAAGCAATTGACCATATAAGTGTGAGACTGTTTCTGGAGTCTTTATAATGTTCCATTGATTCATGTGCTTATATCTGGGGCAATATCACATTGTATTCGCTATTGTAATATAGTCAAGTTCTGAAATCAGGAAGTTCTGAAATCTAATTTCACCTAAGAATGCCTTCCACAGTGGTACTTCAGTGCTAATTAGAAGACCCTGGTGGAAAGCATTAACACCGAGTTAAGTGACTGCTATATAAAGCCTTATGTTTCCCACATGGTAAGAATTGAGTTCCACCATTGCACCAAATCCAAAAGTTTCACATGATGCAAGAAAGTTCAGGGCAGGAAAAAATGCCCTGCCATGCACTATTCTTAGTTAGTCCTTTGTGTGAAAACATAGAATGTACTGTCTCATGATCAGCTACAAATATGGGTGTCAGTCCAGTCACATAAAAACAGCTAGAGTCAATGAGATGCCCACCTGAAGATGGGCACTAAATGTGTGGCTATGGACAAGAACTCTGCTCACTTAATAATGCAAACACAAATTACATGCAAAATGACTGACTAGGCTCTAAAAGTGAAAGAAAAATGTATTAATAATTTTCTGTGAATAAGTAATTTAATGTATAAAAACAAAAATCTTCAACAGAAGGGAAAGCTACTTACACCAGAATAGAAAGGCTCACCAGACACACATATCACATCCTGCTCCTGGATCATCAAAATATCTTTGGCTAGGTGCAGCCGAACTTTGAAAGGCTCCTGATTACCATCCTGCAGCAAACAAATTCCTGTCTTTGTCTTCAGACAAAAAAGAAAAACAGAGGAGATATTACACTTAGTTTAAGATTATTATTGTATGGTTTAGTTACTATAAAACATGATGAATAACATTTAAGATCTAGGGAAAATTCATTCTAATTAATCTGAAGCTTCATACCTAATATAAGTAGAGAGAAAAGGATAATCATTTCACATGAAGTAGTCTTCAGGTCCGAGATAATAGAGTTTATGTTAACAAATACACATACAGGTTTGGAAAATATGGAGTATAGTTTTTTATAACATATTTAAAAAATAATGAAAATTTTGTTTAATACTTCCTTAATATAAAATATTTGTAATAGTTTTATTGAATTACAATATAAATTCTACACAATTTAACCCTTCAGATTATAAATTTTAATGTTCCTTTTTCCATATTAGAAGTTGTATATAAAAGGGTGAAGGGTTTACAGGAACAATTATAAAGGTCATATGGACAACAGCAAGGGGGGTTGGAAATGGGGAAGGGAGGTGGGGAGGGCTGGGATGGTGGGAAGAGATGGGGGAGAGGCAGAAAACTGTACTTGAAAAACAATTAAAAATTGTAAGAAAAAAGAAGTTGTATAGCTGTCATGATAATCAATTTTAAAATATTTTTGTTACTCTAAAAAAAGAAACCTATTGCCACCATTTCCCCAGCACCTTCTTCAGGCTTACACAACCACTAATCTACTTTCTGTCTCTATTGTGGAATTTTAAATTTGAAAACATACCTACTTACATATTCTCTAACTTCCACTATATAATTATTTTTAGTAACCAACACACACACACACTTTGTACAAATGAAGGAACAAGGATAAAGAGGTGATGTGAACTGCCTAAATTAATACAGTTAATTAAAAACAGAGCCTGGTTTGAGACCCAAGATTCTTGATTCCCAATTCACTGTTTTGCCTCACACTTCTTTGGGAATTTAAAACAGTCGAGGGAGGAGGATTTTGCAACTAGTACTCCATAGCTTTAAACCAGTAGCCTAGTAATCACTGAAGAACTCCATGAGTCTTGTCATTCCTGAAGCATCCAGTGTTGTAATATTAACTCAGATAAATAAGTAGATTATCCTTAAGAAGTGCACTTAATGTTCCCATTTGTCAGAGATAGAAAATGAAATTCTTTTGAGACAAAATATGGCCTCTGGCTGTTATTTTTCACTAAATGAAAAGGAATGATAACTACTTTGGCAATTATATTTTTATTTAATAATTATTGGAATATTGTTAATTTAAATAAGAGGATAAACTCATAGAAATATATATTCTTACAATTTATGAGTATAATATTTCATGCAAATAATACCAGGTTTTCTCTTGAAATATAAATTTAATGTGGATTACTAGAAGTTTTTTTCTTTAAAAGAATGTTCTATAATGTTAAGAATAAGCTTAGATATAGCAGCCTCCAAAGATTATTCTTTCTGTAGATTGCTTTATACCATGTGCTAATACATACTATTTTACCCTCTATCATATAATATTATATTACTCTGTTATTTTGTAAGGGTTATGATATACTTTAAGAAAAAAAAATTCAGGGGTCCTTCAAAAATGCTCTTTTTTTCCGCCTCTACGAGACTGATGCACAACAGGAACTCATTAATTTGGGTCAATTAATCTATTATAAAGCATAACTCCAGTGGACATGTCTAGAGGACAAAAATATTTCAGTTACAACAAATTATATTTTTCTTAATACAGAACACACTTTCTGTTTTTTACATAGAAAAGTCTCTTATGCTTACAACGTGATTTAGACCAGAAACCAACATCAGGACTCTGAGGTGGCATGAGGAAGAGATGTGTATAACATAATACGAGGGTCAGATGAACAGAATTGAGCACATGTGTTGATTTTTTGAACATAGAGTAAAATCAGGCCCTTTTCCCCCTAGAAGTGTAATAGAGGAAATGGCATTCACAAATAATGCTCTGTCTCAATTTGAGGATGAAAAAGGGCCTTTTCCTGAAAGTCCATAGATACATTATTGCTACATATCAAAGATCACCCAGGGTAAGTTTGAGGAACTAAAACAGTTATGAGGCTTATCTCGTCACATTCTTAATATAGTCAAAACTCCATCCACTCAACATTCAAATATGTGTAAAATGTCTCCTAATTGTCATTTAGTTGTCTAGAAAACAATATTTAGACTTTGAACTTATGTTTTGGTACTAAGAAGATGAGAGAATGAGGCAGTTTCTATTTTCATTCAAATAAAATGCATCTCTATATACATATTTATATATTGGTGTATAAATATCTTAATGCAGATCAATAAATAGCTGTTTAAAAAAACAGAGAGATAGTAAAGCTAACAACAAATTCAAGTTAAAATACATTATCCAGGGGTTGAAGATGTTATTTACATATATTGTATAGTAATAATTCAGTTAGTATAAAAGAAAATGCATTTAAAATCCCTACACATATCAATTTTGCAAATATTGTGTAATATTAACAGAATCCTACGTAAATGAGATAATCCTCTCTAAACTTAGTGTATTCTTGCTTATAAAAATATTCATATATAAATAAATGCAATGTGGTATCAGATATGAAGCAACATGGAAAGAGGAATTAAATGTTCTTGAGGGATGAAGATGTTGAATGATGCTTTGTAAGTAGAAAAAATATGTGGTTTGTCTTAAAAATAAATGATAATTGGAGGAGGCGAATGCTATTTTATTCAAGAAGGAAAAACGTAAATATATGGAAGCATGACAATGCTTAGTGCATCTGATGCAAGAAGACGGAAGCACACAAATGCATCCCTGATGATGATCAGGTGTGATTTACCAGTGGCCAGGGAAGAAGTGCCAGGAGAAGACGAGGTGGAACAAGGCCCTTGTGGGGAAGTGGCAGGGGTTTGAAAGTAGTCATAGAGAAATTACAGCAGTGAAATAACATCTTTAGATGTATGTTTTTATATAGCCATTTTTTTAGATTTTATTTATTTATTTTTAGAGGGGGAAGGGAGGGAAAAAGAGAGAGAGAAAGAAACATTAATGTGCGGTTGCTGGAGGCCATGACTGCAACCCAGGCATGTGCCCTGACTGGGAACCAAACCTGTGATTCTTTGGTTCACAGACCACACTTAATCCACTGAGCTACGCCAGCCAGGGCTATACAGGCATTTTTAAAAATTATTTTATTTTAATTGTTGTTCAAGTACAGTTTTCTGTCTTTTACTCCAATCCCAGCCCACCCCTAACCCTCCCCACCTCCCTCCAATTTCCACCCCTTCCCTAGTTTTTGTCCATATGTCTTTTATACTTGTTCCTATAAACCCTTCCCCTTTTTCCCTGAGATTCCTTCCCCTCTCCCTTCTGGTCACTGTCAGCCTGTTCTCAATTTCAGTGTATTTGGTTATATTTTGCTTGTTTGTTTTGTTGATTAGGTTCCTGTTAAAGGTGAGGTCATATAGTATTGTGGAGAAAAGGGAACCTGACTACACTGTTGGTGGGATTGCAGACTAGTACAATCACTATGGAAAACAGTATGGAATTTTCTCAGAAAACTAAAAATGGATCTTCCTTTTGATCCAGCAATTCCACTGCTGGGATTATATCCTAAGGACCCTGAAACACCAACCCAAAAGAACCTATGCACCCCAATGTTCATAGCAGCACATTTTATAATAGCCAAGTGTTGAAAGCAACCTAGGTGCCCATCAGTAAATGAATGGATCAAAAAACTATGGAATTCTATGCAGCAGAAAGAAAGAATGAGTTCCTACCCTTTGCGGCAGCATAGATAGAACTGGAGAGCATTATTCTAAGCCAAATAAGCCAAGCGGAATAAAGGCATTTCTGATAGCAGAGTAAAGAGGATAAGAATTTGTAAAGTTAAAACAATTTTTGTTGACAGAAATGTAAACCTTAAACAGGAAATATTGGGGACTGTTAAGCAATTGCATTAAATTCAGAGCTACTGTAGTAAATCAAGGAAAATGGATAAAATCTATTTCAGGGCACTCTTCTGGTTCAGAGCAGAATTGTTGTACTGATGCCATTGCTAATGAAATGTGGTCATATATTATTTGTTGTTTAATGTGTTCTTATATAGAGCTTACTTTGTGTACAGAAATATTAACTTGACTCTTGTAACAACCCAATGCAACTAGATTCAACAGAGAGAGAGGAACAGATGTGAGTGTGAGTCAGGGTTTGAACTGAGGTTGCTGGTCTCCAGATTCTGCACTCTTAACCATTCTCTCCAATTTCCCTCAGGCAGAGACTATTTGAGTCTCTGCAATCCTCCTGCATACAGCCACATGGCTATTGATGTCTTCACCAAGTAGCATTTTGGTTACCAAGAACCTTTTTTGGAAGAGAGTGCACCAAGCACTGAGAAGAACATCATCTTGAGCCAGCTGTTTTCCAGGTATCAAAACAATGACTACTGGAGGGAAAATAAAATGAGTAAATGACAACTATGGGCCTGACAGTTGATTTTCCCATCAAATACTTGCTTCTAAGGGAGAATAGGACACTGGCTGAGGCTTGATTTATGCACTCCAGGGCCCCTGGAGGAATAGAAATGAGAAACAGGGCAGTGACAGAGACTACTAGTGCAGCACAACCTAAAACAGCCACACAGTCTTTACATATCTGTGGACTCAAACTGTTTAAAAATAAAAAAATAACTTCAGTAATTATGGCCTCCCACTTTACCCTAAACTTAAGATCTGGACTCATCTTCTCTTTCTCTACTAAAAGAACAATCATTTGTGTTCAAACTTTATTGACTGGGTATACATTGCACAAGAGTTAAGAAATGTATGTGCCATGTATAATGTACAGTTATATAAACCATAAAAATATAGAAAACTTGATGTTTTAAAGGAATGTCTCACATAAAATGATATAAATTTAAATGTTGTTTTCTTCTTCCTGTTGGGGGTTCCTGCAGTATAGCTGGATTTCACAAAATCCACATTGGGGAATACAGTATTTGCTTTAGAGGAATATTAAAAG